AATATATATATATATATATTTTGAAAATGGCTTGTAACATTTTATAACACTTACTTACTGAGACATCCAGCATTATGTAGACACCCGATCTCCCCTTTAAAATCCCCATCTAGATCTTTAAATACTTGATCTAGGGCATGATGTAATTTATTTCTGTCAAGTGTACAGGGAAGTGGAGGAGCAATAAATGTAAACAGAACCTGTGTGCACACAAAAAAGTGATTTCATTTCATGCAATATTATAGCAGGAAATTTGTCATCACAGATGACATGGACCCAGAGCTTTTGTGTATCTGAATTTTGAGGGTTTTGTGAGTATATTTGAGTTTGGGTTTCTGTTTTGGGAATATTATTCTAGTATTTATTCTAGTTTTTCAAGTTCTTGATCGTTACTTGGATTTCATTATTATTCTAAAATGATAATGATAATAATTTCCAGTTTGTACCTAATTTCATCTTTTCTGTTTTGCCATCTGTATTGAGGTTTCATGTGAGTTATTTTGAGAAGCACGATTCATGGCTTAGCAAGCTTTGGGGATTTGAAAATCAGAGTTTTCTGTGTCATGGCATTGGCTCTTATGTACCTGGCTAAATGCCAAGTAAAAAGGGGGCTTTTGTGTTCAGCATAATCATGGTGACTGATGCTGTACACATAAACTGATTGGGAGCAGGTTATGGTATGGGTTTTGGTTTCAAATCATCTAGAAAAACCACATTTTCTCTGAATCTTTTATTCATGGCATATTTTAAGTCCAAGTTTCTCTCCTGGGGACACTGAATGAACTGCAAACTGCATATCGCATTGTTAGGGAAATGTCTGTTATTCAGAAAAATGTATGAACACTTTAAAAACTTACTTTTAATCTGCTGCTTAGTATGTTTTACACTGCTGGAATTGCAGCTGCAATAACACAGACCATACACCTAGAATACCCGTGCAATAAATTAATTTCACGTTGATCTGCTAACAAACTAAAGTGATTTCCACATTTCTTTTATTAGGCTGCTTTAATGTTTAAAGAGTTTTAATGTTCTGGAAGATCCCTCGGACACCTGCAGGGAGAGTAGGACGGTCTAAAGTTTTTCAGTAGTGTCTAAAGTCTTTGTGTTTCCCTAATCAGCATCAGCATTAATATATGATGCTGTTCCTAAAACAGGAAACTTACGCTGTACTTTTTGTCCTCATGTCAAATTTGTACATACTCTCATGCTGCTGCATATTTTGAATAAGTCGCTATGGAAAATACCTGATCTTAAACCTCACATACGTGTTGAAATCTCAGTTAAAGTTATTTTATCTGAAGCATTCAAATATTTGGTGTCTTTAAACCGTGAGTGCATGGGCTGTAGTTAAATCATAAAGCTAGCTTAAAAGTGCTTCAAATCAATAGTGCTAACGAAAAGCCGGAGAGGCCGACAGTGACCTCTGATTGTGTTTAAGGGTTTGTTTATATTAAATAAAACATGATACAAAGCATTACAGCCCATTAAATAGCCAACGGCCTTAATGAATGCAGCAGGAACTCACAAGCAGAGAAGTATAAAGACTTCTGCATTTCTACAAACTGCACACCATCATAACACCTCAACCGATATTAACACATGGCCATTTTTGTGTGTGTGCCATTCTAAAAAACCTGCTCCGGCATTAATTTCAATGCTGTTTTTCCTGGAATACCCTAAAATCAGAATCAGCATCAGAATACTTTATTGATCAAATTATGTTGGTTACAGTGCTCCAGTACAAACAGTAACAAAGACAGACACTACAAGAAGTAAGACTACAATATATACATACATATAAGTCACTTATTAATACATATCTGAATAAGAAAGAAGAGCATGTGCAAAAAGGGTGGAGCTATTGCAGTATACAGTGTTTTAGATGAATGAGTTGTACAGGGAGATGGCCACAGGCAGGAATGATTTCCTGTGTTGTTCAGTGGTGGTTTTTGGTAATCTCAGTCTCTCACTGAACATGCTCTTGTGGCTAGCCAGCATGTCATGGAGTGGGTGGGAGGTGTTATCCAACATTGTTTTTATCTTGAACAGCATCCGCCTCTCCGACACCACCTTAAAAGAGTCCAGCTCCATCCACACAACATTGTTGGCCTTGCGGATCAGTTTATTGAGTCTGTTAGCATCAGCAACCCTCAATCTGCTCCCTCAGCATGCAGTGGCATAGAGGATCGCACTGGCCACAACAGACTCGTAGAAAATCCTGAGCATTGTTCGACCAATGTTGAAGGACCTCAAAAAATAGAGATGACTCTGGCCCTTCCTGTAAAGTGCTGTGGTGTTTTTAGCCCAGTTTATTGTCAATGTATACGCCGAGGTATTTATAGTCATCCACAATGTCAATATTGACCCACTGGATTGAAACAGGGGTCAAGTGTTTCCTGGTCTTCCTGAAGTCCACAATCACGCCACGTGATCTGCAGCCACGTTGAGCTGCAGCCACGTTGAGCTGCAGATGATTGTGCTCTGTCTCATCATCCCTGCTGATGAATCCAACCACTGCAGAGTCATCAAGAGAATATACACCTTATTCAAAACTCTACTGCACACATTTTGTGTATTTTAAGTATTTTGGTTTGTTTGCTTATTTATCCATTTTATTATATTGGTGCAATCCAACCATTTTCTGAAGGGTGACAGTAAAGGTCTACAGTCTTGAACCATTCACGTTCACATTCAGCCAGATTAATTTGCCTAAAAGTCCTTGGACAGGAGGGAGCAGGAGTACCCGTAGAGAACACTGAGAGGCGTGTTTTTACTATGATTTGAGCTTGTGAAGCCTCTGAAGTATTTCTTACAAATAAAACTGACTTGACCTGAAAGTGGCTTTATGTAAGACATTTGTCAGTTCTGAGCTTTCAACCCTGCATTCTATTCAATACAATTCAGTTTCATTTATACAGGTCCATTCTGAGTTTAACATTTTAGTTGTGTTTATTATGTGTTTTGTGCAATTTGTTCTTGTAATTTTTATTTCTGCGTTCTAGTCGATGTGTTTAATTTTTCTGTACTTTGGTTGCAGTTTCTTTCGTAATTTGTAATTAAGTTTAAGTTTTTGCACTTCTGTACTTTCCTGCTGTTTCAATGTTAGATGAGCCCATGCTGTGTTATTCTCGGTTTTATTTTGATAGTCTCTTGTCTCGTGTTCACTGTATTTAATTTTAACTCACTTGTGTGTTTTTACTGACTAGTTTCGGTAGTATACCCTGGTGTTTTTCCTAATTACTTGTGTATTTATAGCCTCTGTCTCCCTTCAGTTATATGTCATGTTGTACTGCTTGTTCACATTTACTGGCCCTCGTGTGGCTTCTATTGGTTTTACTGGACTTTGATACTGGCTGCCCTTCGGATTATCGCCTCAATAAAGGTTTGTTTTTTTGTTTTAATTTGTCTCACAAGTGTATTTTTCATCCACATTGACATTTGTAAGTATATTAAGCAGTTTTAATATATTCAAGCTTATCCTTAACGCGCACAAGGAAGGTTTTGTTGAGCATGTACTTGTAGGTTATTTGCGTTTGCTGACAGGTCCGGTGATCACTTCAAAACTAATGCACAGGCAATTTTTCTAACATTTAATTTCCTTTCACCCAATTTTACATCAGGCTGTAACACAACATCTGCTCAAGCACTATTCACCTTCATTTCAGACTCAAATATGCAATATATCAGCATTCATTAGTGTGAATAATTTAATTCATGCAGCCAAACTACCTCGTTAAACAGACATGCTCTCAGTTCAGGACAGCAGTGAACTCTTGAGCATACCAGCCCTACCACCTGCACAATAATGAATTAGTAATGAGTTGCTACGAAGGCGGATTCTGGGTTTTGGGGCTTTATAGGTGAAAAAATTCTTGTATTTTTCTCCGTTCACTAATCTTTGTTCTCTTTTGTAAATGCACAACAAAAATTAGTTTTTTAAAAAAAAATAGCTATATATAAGCTATTTTTAAAAAGACAAGGCACTTCTTTAGTAGCATTATTTACTTTAATTTACTTATTTACAACAGTACTCAGTGAATTCTGTGATAACAG